ATATCTTTGTGGAAAGTTCTCAGTAAATACATCTTAGAACATTGCTTGTTCTTCACTCTTTCTCTCTCCACTACTTATGAAACTCTAATTAACCACATTTTAATCTTCTCAACATACCTTGCATTGCTCTTCACTTCTATTTCATATTTTGCAAGAAATGAAAGACGAATGGGCATTAAGTGAGCGAACTTGGGAAGGTGTAAGAGTATTTGAGGGGGAACGGCAGGTGATTACTTGAAAGCTGAGAAGGCTTGTGTAGCTGATGCTCACAGAGTGAGGAGAGAGGCGTGAGATGAAGCAGAGATACAGGCAGGAGCAGGTTGTTTAGAGTCTTTAGCCAAAAAGCAGTGGGAACCGTTGCGCTGTTTAAGGTGATGGTGACAGGGTCAGATCTGTGTGTTGAAAAACTCACTCAGCCTTTGGAATAGAGAATAGATTGGAAGAGGGCCAGACAAGATGTCAGGAGACTAATTAAGAGGTTATTGTCGTATCCAGGTGAGAAATGTTAGCTTGTCCTAAGGTAGTGGTCCTTGAGATGAAGAGAAAGGAGTAGAATGAGAGGGATTTAGGAGATGAAAATCAACAGAACTCAGTGTTTTGGAAGTTCTGGCTACTAGAATAAGAATGAAATAGAACTAAAGGACACACTGTGATATAGAAAGAATATGAGAAGTATTTATTTTCAGGCTGTATGTTTAGGGAATCTCAAATCATCAACTAAAAGATTGCTTGAATTAGTAAAGTTATTAGTAATCCTAAATTTCCCATCCCCTTTGCTCTCACTCTCCAGGTGACTATTTCACCCTTTCTCCTCTCCCCTCAAACTTCCGACATCTCTGCTTCCTCAGTCTTTGTCACCCTCACTTTCCACTCGTGACAGTGCTTTCCATTCAGAGAAAAACTAAAATCAATCAGAAGAGAGTTCCCACACCCTCCCCTCACCATACCTGCCCTCCTATTGGTATATGTTCTCTTATCCTCTTGTCTTTTCCCGTGATACTAGAGATCAATTACCCTCACCACGGCCACGCCCCCTACTTGTGCACTGGCTTCTTCTCCTTTACTCCCTCAAGTCTCAGCTTACTCTTGGCATCATCAGTTTTTCTACTGTATTAGATTATCTCTATCAGCACAAAAATATGATAATTTTTTCCATTTAAAAAAGACCCTCTTTAACCCATGTACCTGTCCAGCTGCGACTCCACTTCTCTGCTCCCACATGCAGTAGTACTTCTCAGAAGAGTTGTCTGTACCCGCTGTCTGCAGCTTCTCCCTTCCCATTCCCTCCAGAATACACTCAGTGGGTTTGTGCTACCAACTCACCACTGAACCTACTTTCCTGAAGGTCATGAGTGATGTTCTTGTTGCTAAATCCACATGGACTGTGGCCAAGACTAAATGACACAGGGGTATAAATGGCCACTCCCTTGTCACAAGGTAGGACAAACTCTGTGTGCAGCCTCCACTCCAAGCCTCCCTGTGGTATCAGACCGAAGCTTGTCTCTGGGGAAACCACGTTCTTGCTTGGCTTTTCCTCCTGCTCTAACCTGCATCTTGTGCCCCCTTCTCCCAAGTCACTCCCTAAGTAAAGGTCTTGAGCAAGTATCCTCTCTCAGGCTCTGCTTCTAGCAGCCCGGCATAATACTGTTCCTCTGTGCCTCATCACTGCATGTTCAGAGGAAAACTTTCCACATCTGTGTCAAATATTAAGCATTTCTAACCATCATAATTAATCTTTACCAAGCTGCCAGTCTATCACGTGTGAAATTTTCAGAGGTAGTTAAGAAGTTCTGCCTAGTTCCTTTTGTCTCCCTGACCTAGTTTCACTCAGATGAAGATATCTTGCTGTTAAAATTGTAACTAGCCTCTAGCACAGTTCCCAATAATTAACACAAGTCTGGCACACAGAAGGTATTCAGTACCTATTTTTGAATGAAGGAATTATTTAATTTAACTCTCTGGTGAACTTCATCCATTTGCCTCATATTGTCCTTGTTCTGGTTCTTATATTCAGCCCTCTGGAATCTGTAACCTTGAGTAGGTGCTGACTTCTGCTTTCACATGAGCAGAATATAAACAAAAAAGACAATGCTTCTCTTCTTCTAAAAGACTGTCTCCTTGAGGATGCAAAAAGGGTCTAGCATAGATGTCTTCACAAAACAGTCTCTCAGCAAATGTCAGTTCAGAATGTCTGAGGACCTTGTGGTTGGGAGGAATTTTAGTGGCCATTTATTCCAGCCACTTGGTGTTCTAAACTTTCCGTCATGAGATGAAGTAACATATGTGTAGGCCCAATAAAGGCACTCAGTAAGGTTTGCTAAACCCATTTCCTGGCAACCTTGTTTATTTCTGGATGGCTTGATTTGGTAAAAATTTCTTCTTTCCTATTCATGCATCATCATGCCTTCTAATTCCCATTCATTGGTCTAAATTCTATCAATCGGGGCAGTATTGGATATATCTAACTCCTCTTCCACAGGATGGCCTTTTAGATATTTGAAAATGATTATCCCATTTCCTCTGAGTTTCTTTGATACATATTTTTCTGTCCTTATTGAAATCCAACCCCTCTAGAGTGCTCTGATTCCCATCTCCTCTGGCTTCTCAAGGATTTCTATTACCTCTCTCTGCTCCATTGTCAATCTTTCCTCTCTGATACTTTATTCCTGTTGGAGCTGTACGTAATCTGGGACAGTATTTCCCAACTCTGTCAGACTCAATATCCCCCTTTTTTATAAAAAATATTTTGCAATGCTCTCTTTTCTTTCCTAAAATGAAATTCATTGATAATATAACTTATACCTCATGAAAATGGTAATAAAATGCCTTAACCATAATAAAATAGAGAAATAAAAAGAATGCAATTTATAATAGGACAATATATATATATATTTTTAAAGATTTTATTTTTTTCTTTTTCTCCCCAAAGCCCCCCGGTACATAGTTGTGTATTCTTCGTTGTGGGTTCTTCTAGTTGTGGCATGTGGGACGCTACCTCAGCGTGGTCTGATGAGCAGTGCCATGTCCGCGCCCAGGATTCGAACTAACGAAACACTGGGCCGCCTGCAGTGGAGCGCTCGAACTTAACCACTTGGCCACGGGGCCAGCCCCTATAATAGGACAATATATTTTAATTTGCAAATGCTTGGGCTGTGTGGTAGGTGGCTTCTTAAATGGCTCCCAATTAAATTATCCCTTCCCCTTGTTTGTAGGGTGGACCTAATGACTTGCTTCTAGTAAATAGAATACAGCAAAATGATGGGACACCACTTCCAAGATTACATTATAAAAACTGTGACTTGCATCCTCTGTCTCTCTGTCTCTCTCTCTCTCTCTGGTTCTTGCTTATTCTGATGAAGCAAGCAGCCACATAGAAAGGACTATGTTGAAACAAACTGTGCGTAACCTTTGGCCCACTGCCAGTAAGCAACTGAGGCTCTCAACCCAAAAGTCTGCATGGAACTGAATCCTGCAACAACCACATGAATGAGCTGAGAAGTGGATTCATCCCCAGTTGAGCCTTCAGATGAGACTGCAGCCCCAGTTAATATCTTGATTGCAGCCTTATCAGAGAGCCTGAGCCAGAGGAACCACCTGAGCTGCACCTGGATTCCTGGCCCAGAGAAACTGTGAGATAATAAATGTTGTTGTTCCAAGCTGCTAAATTTTGGGGTAAAGGGTTACTCAGCAGTAGATACTAACAATCCATGATGAATTAGTGAAATTATTTCATCCACTTCTAGGGAATCATTTGGATTTAAGAGAAGTAGGATCAAAAGTCATTCTGAAAAGAAATTTCAAGAATGGGAAAGAGCAGAGATCTGAGTGGACACTGATTAAAAACCAGTGTTAGATTAGAAACTAGTCTTAGGAAAACCAGAATTACTCCAGTGTTGACCAAAAAATCAGCCCCTTTACAGCCTAGTGATCTTCACACCATGTATTCTAAGTTAAAAAACTTGCGGCCGGCCCTGTGGCCAAGTGGTTAAGTTCGCACACTCCACTTCGGTGGCCCAGGGTTCAGATCCTGGGCGTGGACATGCCACTGCTCATTAGGCCATGCTGAGGCGGCGTCCCACATGCCACAACTAGAAGGACCCACAACTAAAATATACAACTGTGTACTTGGGGGGATTTGGGGAGAAAAAAAGCAGGAAAAAAAATAAAAGAAGATTGGCAGCAGTTGTTAGCTCCGGCGCCAATCTTTTAAAAAAAAACTTCAGTAACAATGAAATCCTTGATGTTTTGCTTCCTTGCACAAGCACTGTGATTTGTTTATAGAACCTAAATGTTTTCCTGGACAAATATAACCTGTTAAAAGTGCATATCATCAATACTCTTTTAAATAGCTTTTTCCCCCCTTAAACGTGTGCTAACTTTTGAGTACAACTGCACCTTTTCCTTCTGTGCTGAGCGTTAGGCTGTACCATCTTCTCTATTTGATTGTATGAGGCTCTTCCTTCCCTGACGACCATGGGGAAAATCTTGGAGGAGTTTCATAATCTGTGGTCTTTTCCCCACAAGTGCATAAAATAAGAGGATGAGGGAAATATCCTTAATTGAAGTGGGTAAATTGATAACATGTGAAGACAAGTTACAGACTAAGACTGTTAAAGTGAAAAAATGAGGAAGTATGGTAATCTTATAAATGAGCTCAGCTTTATTTATTATTTGTAAGTGTAGGGACAAAATAATTTTCTTTGTTATGATATGGGTCAAGGGTGGTGATAGTATTACAGAAAACAAATCTCCTCTTTGCAACCCGCATTGTTGTAGAGCCCACATGGAGGCTTAATTTTGGATGAGATATGTGGAAATTGTGCAGGTCTCGGGTCTATCTTCTCTTTGCAAACAGCCTTGTACAAGGCAGGATATTTGGCATCCCTGGCTTCTGCCTACTAAATGCCACTAGTTCCCTTTAATAATTGTGACAGTCACAAATGCTCCTACAAATTTTTGAAACTCCCTTCTGAGTGCTGGCACCACCATTGGAAATCACTGCTCTGCTATTCCTTTTAAATTCCTCATCAAGTCCTGTTAACTCTACTGTCAAAAGGAATCATGCTGTTCATAGTACATGATTTGTCCTTGAGCAAGACCCCACCCTCAGCTCAAGGAGCATAGGACTTAGCCTAAGTTGATCAGTGCTTATGTACATCTGGTGACAGTGGTGGTTTAGGGTACATGGTCCAATCTGTGCTGATCACACATAATGGAGTTTTTGATTAATATCTTGGGAAAGAGACTCTGGTCTTCCCGGCCAACTTGAACGACAGAGGTTGTAGGGTATGGAGCTGCTGTAGTCATTTTGCATCTTGTGGAGCCTGTAGTAAAAATCAACCCAGTCGAATGCAACATTGGCTCTGGGTTCCTTATAGGTGCTTCTTTCCATGCTCTAAGTCCTGATAGACTTGAGGCAGAGGAAACTATATTTCTCCTTCATGGATTAGGGGGTACATAACAGCATGGTCCAGGAAGAACTTGTATATGCAATCTGTGATCCTAGTACTTCCATGGAATATTTTCATTGCATTGTCTTGATCTCTGAACCAGTTATGTGTTGCCAAGACTACATCCTTTACCCTTAGGGGAGGGAAGAAAAAGGAGGGCCAACAGACAGGTGCACAAAAACACCTTCTAGTCTTAATTATTTTGTTTATTGTCTCTCCCCCTACTAGAATGTAATCTTCACAGGGGCAAGAATCTTTACCCATTTGCTTCACCACTGTAACTCCAGTGCCTGGGACAGTGCTGCTGAGTGATGAGGAAAAGGTAAATCTTGGTTTCCTGGTTCTCCATATTTGCCACCTAAACAGTATTCATTGATAGCCACACCCTTTCTGTTTTTTAACTTTTTGTTATAGAAAATTTCAGATATATACAAAGTAGGGAAAATATAAATGAACTTCCTTGTACCCATTACCCAACTTCACAATTGCCGTGGCCAATCCAGTTTCATGTATACATAGCTCCACTTTCCGTCTTTGGCCCTCTAACTAGATTATATTAAAGCGAATCCCAGAAGACTTCCACACACTCCTTTTAGCAGCTCTTCTCTAGTTTCTGGGATACTACTTCCTTGTTTATTGTCTATTTCTTTTTAGCCGTTTCTCTTTGGTCTCTGATCTTATGAGGAGCTCTGGAGATAGGATGGTGCTTTGGATTTGTCCCAACTTTTATTACTCTGCCCACCCCACCCCCGACTCATGGACCAGTCGTTGAGTCAAGGCTGCTTCCCAGGGAGGGGGCATGAATTTGGGTGAGTCTCTCTTCAGCTGATATAGAGCAGGTCTGAGTAGCTCACCACAGCATCCATGACAGTCCACTCTTTATGCTATCATGTCCATTACCTTCATAGAATAGTTCTGGGCACAGCTTCCTCAAGACTTTGTTTGGTCTCTTTTCCTTGGATGTTACAAGAGGAAGGTTGATGGGATGTGTCTTAGGTCCATTCGGGCTGCTTTAGCAGAATACCATAGACTGGCTGACTTATAAACAACAGAAACTTATTGCTCACAGTTCTGGAGGCTGGAAGTCCAAGATCAAGGCACCAGCAGATCTGGTGTCTCATAAAGGCCTGCTCCCTGGCTTACAGACAGCTGTCTTTTGCTGAGTCCTTATGTGGTGGAGGGGGTGAGGGACCTCAGTGGGATCTCTTTTATGAGGGCACTAATCCAATTCTTGAGGGCTCTGCCCTCAGGACCTAATCACCTTCCAAAGGCTCGACTTCCTAATATCATCACATTAAGGGTTAGGTTTCAACATATGAATTTTGGGGGACACAGACCTTCAGTCCACAGCGGAGTGAAATACAGACTCTGCAACTGATGTTGAGATTGCAACTGACAGTCAGTGTCTCCTCCTCTACCACCAATTCCAGAGTGCTTGCTCCCTCAGTTGGCACCTCTGCTGGTACAGGTCACTTATCTTGTGAAGTGACCTTCATTTCTGATAGGGTAAGCCCCTGGTCACCATGGCCTTCCTAGGCTGTGGCTGCTGTGTTTGTCCACTTACCTTCAGTATTGGTCATGAGAACGCCAAGAGACAGCTCAGTGGATTACCTGGGTACCAAATATGTTCTTGTTTCCATTGTGTCAAAGCAGGGCCACCTCCTTTTGATGGTCAGGGTCAATCTCTCTGCCGGGATGACTGCTCCTTTTCTTGCCTGATGGACTTATTGCAGGAGGAGATTACAGTGCACTGGCTCTTCCATTCTTGAATATTCCACTTTTCCAGTGCATGGTTTCCTAAATAAATGACTATAGATCCCTTTGGCAAAGGACTAGGGGAATCATTACTGTATTCACTTGCTACAGGGAATCCTGAGGACCTGACCTCTCTTTAATTAGTGAGTTCTGGGTCAGAACACTGGCTCAGGGATTGAGGTTGGTTTTATCACTTCTTCTACCATCTGTGACAACAGTTCTGGCATTTCAGCTTTACTGAATGTGGACTATAATTTTCTCCATAGTTCCAAGAGTCATCCTGGCAGCGTGATGCAACCATCTCCCAGAGTCCTTCCCAGAGAGGCAAATCACACATTGCAGGAGACAGCTCCTGTATAAATAAACTCGCCCTTATCTAACTGCATCTTTCTTTCACTCCCTTTGATTCATCACCCTCAGGATCCAGTCCCATAAACAATCTCCAGCTTGGCCAGTACATGCAGGCTGGATCCTGCAGCCCCCTGGGGTGTATTCCCTTCGTCCCTCGGCAGGCCCAACATTTCCCTGCCAGGTGCTCTTTGCATTAGACTCTAGTTACTGGTCTTGTGGGAGAGGGGGTAGATCCTTCAGGGGCCTGTGTTGTCTTGCAATGCAGCGACTTCTGCCTTATGTTCAAACAAGGGACAAGCACAGCTTCAGAAAGAAGACAGCCACCTCTGCAGGCCCACATAGCTCTGAATGGGGTGTCAAGGTTTTGAGAGCATTAACTGTAATGTCCCCATCCAAGTCGTAGGGTCCCACTTCTCCCAATGAGGCCCCTCATGTTGTCATAGCAGACACTAGTCCCAATGAGGCCCCTGACATTGTCATAGCAGATTTGCCAGGCTGAGGACTCGAACTTCTTTGGAATGCTGCTATTTGCATAATTAAGTCCTAGGCATTATCTATCCTCAGCTTTTTCTGTCCTCCAGCTGTAGGAGATAAGACACTCTTTGGATGCCACCAATGAGGCTTTCCAACTTTCACACTTTGCTTTCCATTGATGATTCATAGCCCTGAGCCTCACATTGTCTTTCTCTAATGCCTCAATGACTCAACAAGAGCCACCAGATTCCATTGTTCTCATAAGTGGAAACTTTTCTGAATCTCTCAAAAGCCTGGGAATTTTCTCCCACTCCTTTTATCCCATCCCAGTTCATCACAAATGAAGGTTTTAACAATTGCACTTCACCAGGAAGCCAGGGATTGTTGGTCCTCCCGTACTACCAGGGATGGGTTGTTGTTTCTAACTCTCAGGAGGATGATCCAGCTCTGTCTCTTTTAGAGTCTCTTTCCTCAGATCACTCCTGGCACCAACTGTTTTAGGTAGGTTCTCTGGGAAACAGGCCTGGAGATGAAGATTTGTGTGAGACAAGTTTACTGAGGAAGGAGTAACCTTGGTGTCTATACCCTAAAGAAATAATGGAAGTAGCCCTAGACGTTGAATTGCGGTGGTAGTAACAAGGGCCTCAGTCAATCCCACTGGGAGTCTGAGCTGGGATGGCCTTTCAGAGTGGTCCGACCATGAGGGAGGGACCAGGCCTCTATATCCCTCCTTCATCAAGCAGTCATTGGATGTGGGCTGCCCCTGGGGAGATGCCATGAACTAGGGCAGGGCAGCTCTCTTCACTGAAGGCAGCTCCCCTAGAGGGGCTCAGCAGAGAGCCCAGAGCCAGCAATACCCCCAGCAGCTAGGGGATGATGAGGGGACCTGGGAAGCCACCACTGTCCCTCTTTAAACTCCCCTTGACTCATCTGTCTCTTATTAAGCATTGGTTCTCCCCTGGCTCCATTCTCAGGCTTTTTCTTTGATGCATATTCCTTTGAGGATGGGGACACATCACACCTCCTCCCAATGCTTTAACCACACCCTGTGCCTGGATCTCCACAGTTTCCTACCCGCCGGATTCTACTTGTGTTTGCACTTGGCCTCTTTGGACTGCCCCCTTTTGCATCGCCTGGCCAACTTTCTGATTCACCCGCTAAACACTGCTTCTATGCTTGTGCCTTAACTGCCTTCCCTGCCCTACACGCTGTAGACTCAGGCTCGCCTCCTCCGGTCTCCCAGCACTGATATCACAACCCATCTGGGAGCGGAAATGGGATACTTTACAAGCACATTTCCTACTTTGTGTCTCAGTATCCAATTTTGCTCTTTCCTTTCACCCCCAAAGCCACAGCCCATCATCCACACTGCTGCTGGAGGATGCTTTCTACAATACATATCTTTATTCATGCAGGAATAGCTATTGGACACTTGCCACATCCTGCCTAGATTATTTTCTGGGCATGCTGTCGTGAGTGATACAGATCAAGTCCCTGCTCTCATCGAGTTTACATTTTAGTGGGGAGAGCAGGCAATTACAATGAAGAAATGAATGAGTGAATGGATAGATAAATATTAGATAGTGATAAATGCCATGCCAAGAATTAGAATAATATGATAAAGTGATGGCCTGGCTATCAAAGGCTTCCCATTGTCTTCTGGGTACAGTGCAGATTTTAACTTGGCACAAAAGGCTCCCATGGAGACAGGTTCTGGGCCCTGCCAAGGGTGGGATGTGGGTTCTTCTGGCCCCTTGGATTTGGGCATTTGGTGGTAGGCTCTTCCCAGAGGGCCAGGCCCTCTGCCCCGGGGGCCTCCCTCCTGTCTCCTCTTCCTTCCTCTATCCTCCAGGGATCCCCACACTCTGGAACAGTGTTGCTTACGAGCCACAGTGAGAAAAACCCAGCTGGCCTCAGCAAGTTTATTCTTATCAGTGATGGAACCAGACAATTAACAATCCATTTCAATGGTGACTTTTGCCATTATTTTTGGGAAATGCTGAGTAGGTCATGACTTTTGGGAGGAGAGATTTTTTTAAACTCGGAGGTATAATGCTCATTTCTACTGAGCCTGTCACTGGGGCTTGGTTTGCAGCCCCCACACTCAGCATTGTCCCCTCCTAGCCCAACACCCCCTCCCCAACTCTGTCTCACTGAGGTTATGGAAGGAGCTTGTGTTAAGTAGGAAAACTAAACAAAAACAAAATGAAACCAAGCATGTTATTAGAGGGTTCCATGTCATGGCTGATAATTCCTCCCAAATCCCTGTTCTCATCAGGAACCTGTGACTTCATTTCCCTGCCTTCATCATTCCCTGTGAGCACAGACGAAAGAGGGAGCAGAAATTCCCCTTCTCTCAGAAATGGAAGCTCCTGGCAATCTTGCTTTGTCAGGCCCCACCTTTGCTCGTTTATCAGGACTCCTAATCACTAACCTGAAGAAATTGATGCCCGATTCCCTACGTCTCCCTGATGTCCAGCCGGAGCGCCTCTCTCTCCTCGAGCCTCCTCTTTCCTGCTTTATTTGGGCATCCTCCTCATCTCTTTTTCTCCGCTTCTCCTTCTCCCTTCTTTGCAGACCTGGTGTGGTCACTGTCTTAGCTGCAGCTCCTCCTAGTGGCAAGTACGGTCAATCACCGGTTGGCGTGTGGCTGACAATAGCCCTGGCTTACCTGCTCTCTTGCAGACTGAAAAGACATTAAAACAGGAGAAGACAAACATTTATCACTCAGAGGAGGTTCAA